TTGTAATTGGCATGACTATGAACAAAAGGGGCTAAAATGAACATTTATAAAAGTCAAGGACTTAGGTGCAAATATGTATAGTTAAGTTAGAGTTCAAAATTGAGTGTGGAACAAGGTTGAAGATATATCGGAACATAGTTGCAAATATGTATGGTTAAAAATAGAGAGCTTGTCGCTCGAGTAGAAAACACGTCGCTTGCTTTTCTCTAAGATGTCACTTGAGCGAAAATTGTATCCAACCAAACCCTAGGTCGCAATTTGGAGAGTTTTACATGGCCCGTGACACTTATTCGCTTCCAACTATAAGTTATGGACGATTTTTCTAATGTTGCTACATTGTGCTATCATTGAGAAACATTTTTGAGAGATCCAAGAACATAATTCAACTGGAGGAATTAATAATTCATTTTTGAGATCCGACAACCTATTTTTGGGAAACATCGCATTTTTGTAATCTAAAACATCTGATTTTCTTAATTCTTTGAGGAAAGAACTCTCTCATTGGGGATTGAGAAAAGTGGACTTCAAGTACAGGAAGCACGAGAACAGGAGGTTCATGGGAATTCCACATAGAAGAGGCAATCAATTTAAGATCAAGAGGTTAGAAGAAGACAACAAATCTTGGAGGCTACAGGATGTAGATCGAAAAGTCTGGCGGAGTGGCTAGACAGTATCTACGGCAGTAGATCGTAAGATTGAAAGATTGATAGCCGATCTTAGAGATTACAGGAATCACAATAGTTAGAACTAGTGGGAGTTGCAAGACTAGAATCGCACTGTATCCTTGTTGTCTATAGTTGAAGTAATTGGTTTGGTCCAGAAGTTTTCCCACGTTGGGTTTCTCCGTCAACAAATTGTGTGTTTGTTACTGTTTCCCATATTACAATTCTGGCATTCAAATATAGGGAAATTTGACTTATATGTTTAATATCTAGAAAACTAATTAAAAGTGACTTGTTGCTTTAATTAGTCAATTCCGCATGTAAGGTCGAATTAATAAATTGTTTGGAACGTAAACTTGGTTATCTTAAAAGTTGAAATAGTGTGTAGTGTCCCAGACCTGATTTCACACATGTGAACATCTAGACGATCTTGTTTATTGAATTAAAGAAATTTTTTTAATTTCTGAAAAATTTTGCTTCCGCATTCCAACGATTTCAACTACAATCATTTTTCTTATAAAAATGTCTAGAGGGCTTTAATTGTTTGGAAGCAACAATATAAAATTCTTGATTGTATGTCACATTACTCTTTTTAAGCACGGATAGCTATCTTGTTGCGAACATCGAAGTACACAATTTCCTCAAAAAGGTCCAGGAATGTCGACGAGGCCTTTCAGAAAGTTGACGACGATAAGGGCACTGGCACTGATAAGCTAGACCTTCCACATGATGAATAACAAATAATGATTGAAATGAATGCCCTAAAACACAAAGATATGCTATGGGATCAAATGTACGACAATATGGCTCAGCAATTGGTTCAGGAATTCATGAGATGGAAGATGTATAAAGTCGAGATCGCGGTTGGGTTTATTGAAGGTGTCATGTTACAAAACCTATTTTTGAAGTGCTAATTATGTTAAACTACATATTTTGTGACGGTCGAACAATTAAATCTTCTCGTTTTACAAATTTGTTGTCTCTGGGCTTGAGGTTGTATTTACAATGTCAAATAATTTTTAAAAAATCGAAATTTATACTTGTTCAAATCCATACCAGTCTTAGCAAAACGGACCATTTAGCCCAAGTTTGATTCCTATTTTTTTTTTTTTTTTTAACTTATTTTTCTTCAGCCTTATATTCTACAAATAAAATAATTTTTCATGTAAATCAAGAACTTCTTCCTAATTTTAACTACATATTCTTTAAAAAATCACTATTATAAAATTAATTCTCTTAAATTTGGGGGTCGGAAGGTAATAATTTTGCCCAACAATGTTTGTATACATGGGATACATGTAAATTAGCACAGAGAAGTGGAGAGGTAATGTTATATATGCTTTAATCAATGTTGTGGTCCACAATTGGCACCCAAAAAATCGATTTTAGGAAACAATCGATTTTACAGATGCTTAGATTATCTAGTCCCTATCTGATTTTGTTAATAAAATTGTTAAAAATTTAAGACAAAATCAATAATTAATTTTAATCAAAATCGCAACTTTAATTAATTTTTCAATCATACCAAAAACTTATTAAAAATCTATTTTTTAGCAAAATTGAAGGTAAACTTATCCCATGTTTGAGCCACATTATTTTTCTCAAAATAAATTTTTGAATAATATATTAATAGAATATGTGTGGTTAAAAAATAAAAAAAAAATTTAAATTTACATATAATATTATTTTATTGACGAACGTATAATTGAAATGATATCATATTATTGTTTAAAAATTTATTTTTATTAAAAAATGTTGTTCAAACATGCCCTAATCATAGTTGACGGATTATTATACTTTTCGTGACCGAACTGATTACGGCGCCGCACGCTGTCACGCTTAAATCAGAGGTCCCCACTTCTTCCAATGCACGCTTTGCACAAAATTTCTTTGCTTGCCATTAGTTGGTCACCAACATCAACCCAGTTGTCTATCTCTTTGCGTGTATCTTACGAAATGTACAAGATTCGAGCGTCGTACGTTTCCAAAATTTAAACGTTTTAAAAATATTTTGAAAACTTCAAAAGCATGTTATCTCATATTTCTTAAATTTTTAATAAAATTTGATATCTAGAGAAAAATGTTTTGGAAATTTTTGCATAAAATATTTGAAAACAATGCATTATTATTGACTTTTTGTTGGTTTTAACTAAGAAACAACTTATTCAATGAACAATGCATTATTGCTATATGTACACCTCATGGTATACACAATGCATTATACCCCTCTTACATAGAGGGGGGTCCACGAATATTTTATTGTGTGTGAGTCTCCCTCCATATGAAAGGGGTGTAATGCTATGTGTACACTATTGTGTACACAGAGAATTTTCCTTACAGAATTTCAAACTTTAAATCTTGTAGTACAAAACTAAATTAATAGGAAATTATAGTTTCAATTAATGTTAATAGATTTTATATAATTAAATAATTAATTTTCAAAGTAAAGTAATATTTGTATATTATTTCATATCCTACTTTTCTCATAAACTGAATTTCTTAATATTGTAATGTGATACGTTTTATTTTCAATTTAGATTTTTGTTTCCATAGGTGGCAATTTATGTTATTATTTAGAATAATATTATTTGTACATAATAGAGTTATATAGTGATTTATATACATATAAGATGTCAAATAAAGAGTGGGAATTTATTTTTATTTTTTTCATCTGGTTTAAAAAAATCGAACTCAGTCATCATACTATATCACGTGTATATAAATTATAACGACCATGTTGCACAATCGATTTATTTATATATGTAGATTGTAAGAGCGAAATAAGGGGAGTGGGTGAGTAGGGGTTGGGTTGGTTTAGATTTGTTTACCTATTTCCTTGACTCCAACAAAAATTACAAACCTTTTTGTTTCCAACAAGAAAAGTAGGCAGTGGGTACGTATTTAGGTTTGGATCACTAGCAATTTTAATTGACCCATACGTAAGCTAACAGTATATTTGGCTGAGTTTAAAAACAGGTAAATTTAATTCATGGTCACTAAACTTTCACTGAAAGTTAAATTGAGTCATTATTGGGGTTGAGTGAAAGTCAATTTAAGTTTAAATTTCTCCACTTTGTTGCATTTCGCCAACTACCATCTCTCATACGGACAGAGTTGCTTTTAGTTGGTAATTGTACTATAAATTATCCTTTATGTGATCGTCAAATTTTTGCTTTTAAGACTTTTCTGACGTGATATAATGATAAATCGACTGAGTGACTTTTAAAACTAAATTACAGTTCATATCCAATGTGAAATTAAGTTGAAGTTCATTGACCTAAGTGATTTTTTGACCGTTATTTCATTATTCCAACCGTCATATTTGACTTCTTCTCTCATAATTGGATCCCACTTTTCTCCTAACGGTCAAAAAATCAATTCTCAAAATCACTCCCAGATAGGCTCTAAAAGTAAGTTCAATAACTCTAAATGAAAATTGCTGTTTAAACTTCAATTTTATACATTTACCACTCTGATGAACTCAAACTGAGGATTGTATCTCTCAAACATCTACAAGCTTGCTTGCTTGCTTGCTTTATTGTTTATTGTGTGTTTATTGCTAAGAATTCTTTCTTATTTCATTTTTGTCATTATTTTACTTCATTGTTTTTCCCCCTAATTGTGATTGAGAAAACTACTGAAAAGATTACGTTGTTTCTCTATAAAATTTCAAAGCCTTTTCATAGAAAGGGTAAATTTCAACTACGGTCACTGAATTTTCAACAAAATCTCAATTAGGTCATTATAATTCAATTTAGTTTAAAATTTCTCTATTTTGTCACATTCCATCAATTATTGTTCTCCAAATTGAAAGATATTGCGTTGTTGACAATACCTTCCACATCATTGCAATTAAGAAACAAAAATAGTAAAACGAGAGTTATGACAACGTACTTAAATTAAAAAGTTAAAACATCATAGTAAATTGACATGCACATAGCGATTACATTGAAGATTTGTACCAGTATGACTATCAGTTAAATAATTTTCATCAATTTGAAAATCATATTTAATAGACTGGTGTTTAGTTACCCAATTTAGACAACTTAAGGTTTAATAATCTATTTGAAATTTTGTTGAAAGTTTAGTAACTGCAAATGAAATTTATCATCAAAGAAATCAAAATACTTTTGCTTGTTAGCAATAATATTTGTCGCCACTTAGAAAGAATGTAAAGAATTTATTTCAAAAATTCTCCAAAGAATGAAGAATTTTACCCACAAAATGGAGGGAAAGAATGTCAACTCAAACAAGTCATGGAGTGAAATGGTGGAGCAGTTTCCAACCCCACAAGAACTTTGCAAACCATAAAATAACTACCCAAACTGGTAATAACCCAACTGTCACTTCACCTTCATCATCAGCTAAATAAAAAATATTGGCATGCTCTATTTTACTCATTTTTTCACAATTGATTCAGCAGCTCTTTATTTCTCCAAGAACTAAAGCATATATTCGAAAATGTTTGATATCCTTTTTGGATGGAGAAAAGCTTCTAAATGGTAAATGGGAATCTTCTTATGCTAATTCTGTTGTGTAATTCAAGGTTTCAATGTATTGATTTAATTCACATGGTTTTCGACAGTAAGAAACTTATACGAAGTGCTCAGTGTCGTCTGAAACTGCTCAAGAGCAAGAGGAGTTGTATCGTAAAGCAGTTGCGCACAGATGTGGCCGAGCTTCTTCGACATGGGCATGAAAAAAGTGCCTTTGACAGGGTAATTCATTAGAATTGTTACTTTAGAATCTCATCGTTTCTGGTTTGTATATCCAGATTGTGTATGATCTTCTCGGTTTATATTGAAGGAATTGAATTATATAAGCTCATTAGCTATATTAGGATTTAGGAAGAGGACGGGGTTGCCTTATCCCACCGTACTTATAAGTAAACGATAAAGAAATCGACAGCCTAAGAGCAAAATCCTCAATAGCTTAAGATAAAGAATTTATGTCATTTCACATTTGTACTGTTGTTGATAGAAATCAAAATCTTTCTATATTGCAATAATTTTTTAGATGAGTTAACAAGAAGATTTTCCTTGTTTCCTAGTCTCGACTCATATTTTGCCATTAATTTTCAGGTTGAGCAGCTATTGAAAGATGAAAGTATGGTGGAAGTATATGATCTAATTGAGAAATTTTGTGAATTTATAATCAACAACCTTTGCTACATCCGCAAACACAAGTATGTTTTGCTATATCAATTCGATCAAATCCTTGCGTGGATTATGACTAAATGTATTGTTTTTGGTTACTTCTTAGGGACTGTCCGAACGACATTAATGAAGCAGTGTCGACTCTCATATTTGCATCAGCAAGACTTGGCGATCTACCAGAACTGATAACCATTAGGAAACTCTTTCAGGAGCGTTATGGTCAGAGATTCGCAAGTGCTGCGCTTGAATTACACCACGGAAATCTTGTAAATCATCAGGTTGTCCACTTGAATCAGTGTGATTTGTTTATTTAGTCGTACATGTATTCAGCAATAACTGTAACTACATGAATTTATTTCATTGCAGATTAGGGAGAGCATTTCCAAACAAAATGTGCCAGATGAAGTGAAGTTCAAACTGTTAGATGAAATTGGGAGGACTTGTGTTGAGCCAGGGCTGCTGTTGCTTGAATACAAACCCGAGTTGCTAGAAGAATCGGTAACCACACCTATAGGCAATAAGTTATCGAGTAGTGATTTTCAGAAACATAATGACGACAATGGCCTTGAAATACCGGTTACCAACATTGAAGGGATGCGAGGAAAAACTGTATACATTGATCTGTTATCCGAGAAGCAAACAATTTTGAAAAGTCCGTGCGATTCTTACAAGTTTACAGCAGTCCAAAACTCTGCTCACATTATAGAAGAGAAACTAGTGAAGTCTTTACAGCATAATGATATGGCTAAATTTGCGGTTTCAGAGTTTACTGGTGAAACTAATGGTGGAGGCATGGCAGACGAGTCTTCTTCAGAAACGTCAGTTCGACTACCAGAAGAAATGATATATCTTGATGATATTGAGGAATTCGTGTCTCCATTGAGCAAAGACGGAAATTGCCAAGATCAAAGATTATTCATGTTCAAATCATCTGCCGTTGCCTTGAAACCCGAAATAGATTATGCTATCGAGGCAAATATCATTCCTCGTCATGACAAGGTATCAACGAAATCGAGGAAAACTAGGAAGGCAGGTAGAAAAAGATTGAGAAGATCAGTTTCAATAGAAAACAGAGATGTGAACGATGTTGAGTATGCAAGTTACTACGGTGAAAGATTATCAAATTACAAGACGAAATCTCTTAATCGGAGAAAGCATCAGAAGAAGATTCCAGTCGAAGACAAGAATGGAAGGCAAGAAAATGAGAACTTCACTTGTTCTTCCGAAGTGAAGAGCAACTTAAGTTTTGTCAAGTACAGAGAGAAAGAATTAAGATGTAGAAAAACCGCAATCTCCAAGACGTTTACAGTGCATAGTCTATACGAAGAAAGGGATGAGCAATCCCATTTAAGGGCAATGAGTATGCCCTTGGAAAGGCCTAAAGAAAATCCTACAGAGAACGTTTTAAGGTATCAGTCTTTCCCAATTCAACAAAGTAAAGGATCATCTTGTTATCGCCATATCCACCCAAAGCTTCCAGACTATGATGAACTAGCAGCCAAATTCATGGCTCTCAAAAAAGCAAATTTCCAACCTATTTGATCTGTATTTTTTCTCAACAGCTCTTTCTTTTTGTATTTACTTAATAGGAAATTCATGGCTTAATTTTCTGTATATGTGATGTAGCCGGACAAAGAATTGTGCTATTGTAGTATATAGATTAGGGGTTTGTTTGAGCCATATTATTTTTAAAAAAATACATTTTTCAACAGTAATTTGACATTATTTCAACCACATATTTTTCAATAAAATAATATTACACTCAAATCTAAAACTTTTCCTTATTTTTTAACCACACATTTCTCATTGATTTGATGTGAATAATGCATTTTTTTTCCAAGAATGTGGCTCAAACGTGGGCTAGATGACGATACCTTTACTATAAAATGAAATACAAGGAGTAAGAAGACCTATCAATTGAAACTTGTGATAGCACAATGTCTTAAAGTAAAATTGTCCTTTCTAATTACTGCTACATATTTGGACTATTACCCTCGTGATAAAACGATCAGATCACTTTTATAACAATCATAAACGATTTACATATCCCTCAAATTTTATTCCAGGACAATCTTTGAGCAAAATAATATTTAGAATCAATTTTTCCTAAAGTACAACAGATGAAAATGAGATTATATATAGCCCAAAACGTTCCGCGGGCATAATCCAGTGATGCAAAGAACAGGAGTGAGATAATCTCAACCTTGTTGGCAATCGCAGTATGAGGGTTCGATCCCTGATATATAAAATTGGACTCTTTGTGGGTACTAGTGTACAGGCAAGCTCTTGTTCCCTAGCCTGCTGAACCACATCCCGCGATTTACCTCTCTCACGATGTTCTAAGAATAGGGCGGAACGGGACGGTGGAGGCTCTCAAAGTTGGGGTTCGACCTTATATATATATATATATATATATATATCCCAAAATGTAACTTCCAATATTAATTCGAAATTAATAAATAAAAACTCTTGCTTTTTTTTTATTCTACTTAGAATTTAATTAAAACAAAAAATTTTGGATTTTTATGCTTCCACTAAATCAACCGGTAAGTGTTTCAACTGTTTATATTGCTGGCTAGTTGACCAAATAAATTCGAAAAATGATTATAAAAATAATAATTTTGTTTTAATCAAGACATCCAAGTCTCAACCATAAACTTTTAAATATTAATGTGAAATGTGATTCGAATCGTCATCCTCCCACATATTTTCACACTTTTTACCACTCGACTAACTATTAAAATTTAATTATTTCTTTCAAAACATTATTTAATCACCTGAAATCTTGAACGGAATAAGCACTGTACCAAGCCTGATAATTTGTTTCCGGGCCCATTCATTATTTCCTTATTTTCTTTGGGAGATTATAATCTATTGATTTACTTTCTTTTTAATTGTGTTTCCCCCGTCCCCAACCCGCTGCTATTTGTGCATTTCGATACGCTTGAATTTAAGTTCACTTCTAAGACGGCTCTGTTAAATGAATGATTTTGATTATTGAATAAATACTTTAAGAGATTTCTCATCACTTGTAAAATCAGTATTCTTGCAAATAATCTACGACGACCCTTTTATTGGATTTTGTGTTTATATAGTATAATTTTGATATTGTAAAATAATACTTTTTATAAAATATATAAAATTTATTTTTGTTTATTTATTGTCAACGAGTTTATTTGATATTGAGCATTTGAATAAAAGTATCAATGATCACTTGTGATAAAGTGGGTCCTTGAGTGGAGAATTACCGTGTGACACAGTTATATTTTTAACTATAAATAAATTATCCAAAACAAGTGTATGAAAGTTGTTACGCCTCTTTTAATGAGGCTCCAAACAAAGGACATGTGGTGGCCAGCTACCAAGTTCAACTAGGCCCACACTCTACATAACTATTCTACATGGCTTAGCTAAGGCCATATAATGAGGTAGTCGAAGTGATGCATCACCTCAACTGAGGTTACATGTAGATGCCGATCCTCCATGAGCTAAGTAAGGTGCCACAACCTGCTACAAAGTGATTTTGATGAAATTGGCCCTTTTAACGAGAGAACATCTAACACTTCAACTGTTCCCAAAAGATCTTTCATACAAAGATTTTTTTATGATTGATTGATGTGACATCTCTACAGCAGACATCTCATGATCAACTCATGAATCTATTTTTCTAAGGTCAGACATATGCTATAGGGTGGATATTTTTCGCAAACACTTAAGGCCTCTCAACCTATAATTGTATTGAAACTTAGGAGAAGATGCTTCGGACATTAGGATGAGACTATGTTCCTCTTCTTCTATTATAAAAGTTTATAATTCGTGCTATTTGAAGGTAATACAATTTTATGCTTTCAAGAATATTGCCCTCATATTTGTACTCTCGTATACCATTGATTCCCAAACACTCTTATAGCTCACGTATTCTGCACATTTCATACCCAAGTACACCTATACTGTTGATTGATTTGACGTCAAAGTGCACACAATCACATTCCTCACCTCGAGGGAAGATTAAGTATTCCTTACTATTTTTCCAAGTGTGTAGGAAAAAGGCAATCAGGGTTAGAGTGGAATCAGAATCCGTTGACCACATCTTTCGTATAGAAATCGAGATCAACAAGAGTTGTCACCTTGTATTGAAATGTTTTAGTGTTCATTGATTTACTATTCCGGATTATGATTTGTTATTATGGAGTGTACTGAACGACCAAGTTTCAAATTTAATTACATAGCCGGATCGTGTGGAAAATTAAATTCCTTTTGATCGTCGAGTGTTTTGACTAAATCTCTTGACATGATTGTGTATATCATTTTCAGAGTTTAATGGGTCTTTAATGCACCAGTTGGTTATATCAATTTGATTGATGAAATATCTTCGATAAATTAAAAACTCTATTTCTATTTGTATTTACTTAATAGGAAATTCAGGGCTTAATTTTCTGTATATGTGATGTAGCCGGACGAAGAATTGTACCATTGTAGGATAAAGATTAGATGACAAAACCTTTACTATAAAATAAAATACAAGAAGAAAGAAAACCTATCGATTGAAACTTGTGATGGCACAATGTCCTAAAGTGAAATTGCCCATCCTTAACTACTGCTACATATTTGGACAATTACTCTCATGATACAATGATCAAATCACTTTTATAGCAATCACAAACGATTTACCTAACCCTCAAATTTTATTCCAAAACAACATTTGAGCAAATTAATACTTAGAATCAATTTTTCCTAAAGTACTATTGGGCAATTTGTTGTCAAATGACCTCTCCGAGCTATGATGTTATTTGCTTTTAATTTTTCAGTTGGCTTGACCAAATGACTGAATGAAATTGTTGCGCCACAATCTAGAAGACACGACCCAAAGGTTAATTGGACCAGTTGAAGCAACCTAAATATTTTAGTATTGCTCATGGCCCAACTTACTTTATTGGATGGCCAACAATGAGAGGATTTACATGGAAGCCAGTTTGTCTACTTATTGGGCCTCTACTTGAGCCACTTGTTACCCTAGTGTTACTTACCTTATTTGGGCAACTTGTTTTGATAAATTGGGTCTCTGCATCACTTTGCAAGAATAACGTCCCGCATCTCTTTCTTTCTGTGAGTTTCGGCCTTTGCACTTTCTTTTACTTCTCTATTCCTTTTTGGTTTCTACCGTTAGTGGTGATTATCATTGAGATATTGTATACCTTTATGGTCTTCTAAGTGAGTTATCTCTTTGGCAACCGAAAGTGGAAGCTTGGTTTTTCTTGGGTCATTTGGTTGTCGAATTGTAGTGAGTTATGGGAATAAACTGATCTTGGGCCAACCTTGGTGGTCTATATACTCTCTACATTTGGTATTAGAGTGTGGGTTGGTGAGATCTAGCAAAAGTTCGAGCCAAAATTGAAAGAAAGGGTCGACTTCTTCAAAGAGGCCGAATCTGCAATCCTTAATTACTCCCAAACCAGACCTCCGTTGGACAAATAGAGGCTGGACCCACATCTAACATGTTAGGCATCCTTGGTGAGGCGGGGCATGGCGATGGCGACGACAACGCTTGGCTAGGTTTTTCGGTGAGATTTTTTCGTTCAGATTACTTATTTTTACATCCTGGACGTATTGATGTATTTTGTTTAGTGTTTCAGGTTACGCAGGAAAATTTGGACGATTTTACCCCTAGACATCAATCTGCGTATGTGGCTAATTGGAATTGGTACATTTGCTGAATCTTTAACATGGATAGTGGTGGGCCTAAAGCGGCAAATTCGCATCTCTCCACTTTACGGACTCAGATAGGTCCACTCTTGTAAATTGGCTTAACCCATTTAATTTTCAACATTAGCGCATCACCGTGCGAGATGACAATAGGGTTGTGATTACCTTGAAAGGGTAACAATACTTGTGCTAGAAATTCGGATTACTTGCTCTTAATTGTTTGATTAAGTACTTATTTTTTGGTTAAATTAGCGTGTTGATTCGTAGTGCTATAATTGCCGTGAAACTGATTATCTGCTGGCATATCATTTTGTAACATTGTTATTTCTGCTGCTTATTAATTTCGTTAGAATACCGAGACCTTACCCGTTCAAATATTCCCTTGATCAAGTCTTACGAAATACAAGGAATCTAGAACGTAGTATATTGTCTGTAACCCTAGGACTGCTTTGTGTGGTTCGACTGTGTTTTGTGCATTTTTTGCTATATGCGAAAATGACAACTCACAACTTTGATTTGGGGAATTTTAATAGAAAAAGTGATTTTTCAATTTGGCAACAAAAATGAAGAGTATTTTGGTCGAACAAAAAGTTTCAAAAGTTATTAAAGACAATTTTTCAACTGATTTTTCGAAAGAACAAAGAAAAAATTCGATGAGTTTGCTTAAACCTCAATCATTTTACACTTATTTAACGTCGTTTTGAGAAAGGTAGGTAAACTGAAAACCACCAAAGAACTTTAAAAAAATTGGAAGATATGTATTTGCTCAAATCTACACCGAATAAAGTTTACCTGCTTGAGAGTTTTTCAGCTTTAAAATGGATCATTTAAAGGATCTCGATGACAATTTAGATGTGTTTAACAAATTGGTGAAATATATTGTTAACTGTGATGAGGCTGTGTCCCGAACTTTCAAGGCCATAATCCTGTTCAATTCTATTCCTGACTCATATAAGGAAGTTAAAAATACCATTA